CCAAATAGAAAGTTCTTTCTTCACCACTCATCGTGTGCTGTACATACAGCATGTGACCAGACACATGGTTTAGTGACGAAATGCATGCAAACCCTCCTCCCCCGCCCAAAAAAAAAAAAGTTAAAGCATATATTGAAATAACATTACAAGTTAAATATAACCCTGTAAGGCATGTTAGGTTCAAGGGGAAAAAAATCACTGTGCAAATTTATGCAGTCAATTTTTAACTGAAACCTATGTAACCATATTACTTACATAGCTTCCTAATTGACAGCTGTAAGACTGGATCTTGTAAAATAGTATGCACAAAAATTAAAGTTATAGTTCAGGAATCAAAGAAGTGCCCTTATACAATGTCTAATGAATGGGCTTAATTTATTAAAAATTGTAAGTACCACTTACAGTAGATCACTTTATCTGCTATTTGCATCTTTAAAAATAAATCCCTATTTTCCTAATAGGTAGCTGCCCACTTTATATACACTACATTGAGCAACTTTAACTATAAGTGTTTCTGCTAGCATTGCCTATATGCAACTCCCATGCCTTGTGATGGGAGTTATGTGTTAACAAAGGGCAAAATAATCATGCAGTCATGACGAGTTCCAATTGTATTTGCCAGGTATATGGTTCTGCAGTGCTACTTACTTTGATGTAATCCTACAAACTGCTAAGCCTTCCCTGTGTGATACTGGGCACCTTCCTCTCTCATTAAAGGCAGTGGGAGTTGACAGGTGCCCAGCACCATACGGGACTGGACCCTGGCTCAGAATCTGAATGCTTGCATGTTTTTGTAGAAGACCTAATACAAGCAAGAGAAGTTACTAGCCAACATAACATTTTTACCCCTTGTGCGATCTTAGGCCAAATCCCCAGCTGCAGACAATGAGCATGCAGTGCAGGTCAGGTGCATGAGAGGAGCAGTGTTTACCTTTGCTCTCCCCAAAGCCTGAGGTTTCTGAGTGCAAGGCCAGATACCCAGTATAAGTCAGAGCAGCCATAAATGGGCTGCTAACAGTCCCATGGGGCCAAAACCACAAGCCGTGCACTTCAATGCGACCATACCATACAATCCAGTCTACAATATGCTTAGTAGTAGACTCATTGTTAAGATGAAAACCTATCAGATAGTAACCTTGCATTTCTATAATGCTTTCTCACAGGGGTTTCTTGAGTCAAGTACTATCTGTTTTTTACAGATGGTAAAGTAGAGGCACAGAGAAATTACTTGCCCAAAGTCAGAGAACAAGTCAGTGGCCAGGCTAGGAATAGAATCCAGAATGCCTGTCTTGTGCTCTAACTACTGGACCATGCTCCCTCCCTTAAAACGGTGCTTTTCTGCAATAATTGGTGAGTGGATGTTAGATTTTTTTTTTTCAAGCAGCTGTTCAGTTCAAATTCATAATTACACACACCTTAGAACTGGCCATTTTCCACATGTATATGATATGGGAACTGGTTGCTTTCATGGGTTTTGTGGGGATGCTGGTTAATGTTTATTCTGGCATCTCAGAAGCAGGACAGTTTGTGATAGTTGTCCGAAGGAAGTCATAGCTTTCCCCATCTCACAACCAGAAACTTTCCCCTCCCTCTGACCTGAAGTGAGGATGCAGCCTACCTTCCTATTTATGTGTTCCTGACCCAACCTTCATGTGGGAACCAGTGAGGATGTGCAGAGACAGGTGCCTAACTCCTGTTGGTCAGAGAGTAGAAAAACTAAATTGCGTACAGTCCTCTACAATTCTCTGAGGACTAGAATGAGCTTTGAGAGGGGACTGCAATCCGCATGAGCTTAATACTCAAATACAGAGGGCAAATGCGGAAACCAGGGAAAAAGCACCCTGACCAAGCAAATTAATTTGATTCCAAAAGGCAAAGCAGAAAATGATTAGAACCTATGGGAACGAGGGTCCAGGAAACAATCGAAAGCAGTGATACTCAGCCTTGAAGATCAGAAGAGCCCTTACGGAATCAATGAAGTTACAGTTGCTGTGCGTGTTTGTTTTTGTGAGTCACTTATGCCATGACACATCACAATTGGAGGAAGTTGCACTGTGTGTGGACTACTGTTAAACACAGTAGTCCACTTTGCAGAGGCCACTTCGTCATCTCTGCAGTTTCTCAGTCCGGGGGCCAGCCAGCAGTTAATTCAACCTAGAAGAGCCTTTGGGCTCCTGTAAGTTGCACCTGGCTGCAAGTCAGCTTCAAGGGCCATTCCAGCAGAAAAGGGTCAGAACGGTGCAGAAGGGCTCTGACAATATTCCCAACCCCCAGTTGCACTCCTGACTCTGGAGGCTACGAGCACAACGTAGCTAGGCTCCATCTGTACATGCTGAGGATTTTCCCCCTATGTTTGGGGAATCCGCGGGTGGCCAAGTAAAGCTGGCTTTACAGCTCCTTTGTGCCATCAGAGCAGTCCAAAGGGACAGCAATCAGGCTGAGGATCTGGCCCAATATCCTTCCCTTCTGTGCCACTGGAAGGGTGGCATTCCTTGTCTCTTTTTGCCCCCTTCCACTTAGTTGCTGGGGAAAGTGAGTGTGTGTTCTTTCCTCCCTCTCATTTCTGTCAGCTGCTAAAAGCCAAGGGAGGATTCCAGAGGTCTGTCAAAGATTCCTGGATTGAATTTTGATGGCATGGTTTATAAAATTCTGCAATATACTATCACAGATTTAAAAGGAAGCAAGGAAGAATGCTTTTGAAGTTATGAAGAAAGTGACAGCAGTATTTTAAAAAATAAAGTTATGAAGTGCTGCACAATGATTGAGAATGCAGGAGAGTTTTTAAATGTTGAGCTTTACCCCAGGTTGCAATTTGACCAGGAGAAGATAAAACTATCCCCAAAAATTCCTTAAGTCATAGTAGCAGTTGAATGACCCAGTAAGAGCAGGGATAGGGCAAAAAAAGAATTGCTGTAGATTGTGCGGGATGTTGATTCACAAGGGGAAATACAAAAGGTTCCAAAAGCCACCAGGAACAACACGTACTTGTGAAAAGCAGATGAGGACCTACAGACTTGAATTAATGTAGGTCAGATTTTTAATAAAGGGTCACTGATCACTCAGAGTTAGTGAACTGGACACAGAGAAAACTGCCAAGTTAATCAAGCCATTGTGGATCGAGAGGTATTTGACTTGGCTGAAATACAAATGGTTTCTTCTTACCACTAGTGGTACTGCAAGAGGCACTTTCATACAGAAGGTAACATATTTGTTGTTATCACTGCAGAGATTTTCGCTTTGTAAACATGTATGATGAATGACCTGTAAAATTCTGGAACTTATTGAAGTTGATTTCAACCTGATAATGGAAATGTAAAGATCCAATTGAAGCATAAGCTTACCCAAGGCCACACTATACTATTTTTAAATGTATGTAATACCTTATTGTGTGAAGACTTCAAGACTTTATACAAAAGAGATGCAATGCCGTTGTTAATGAATGAAAATGAGCAAGTCTTTGGTTTAAAAGAGGCAGCAGGCGTGACACTGTTGAACAAAATTACCAAATAGAAACAGGGGCCATGAATGGAAAGTGAATTAAGGTCAATAAAGAGTACCTAAGGCACCTCATTTATAGATAGTCATCTTTGCTACACTCCTAAAGACCTCCAAATAATACTCATAAAACTGCACACAATAAGGACTGTGAGGGTGAAACAGCAGAGAACCAAAGCACTTATTCGAGTTAAACTTCCCAGGATCAGAGGATAGGAGGGAAACATGCTTCCCCAAACCAGAAGGATGTAATGGACAGGATCAAAGCGAGGAAAAAGCTGACTTCAGAAGGAAGATGAGTACCATAAAGAGCAAAGACACTCTTTGCTGCTCATGAATCACAAGCCAAGACCTGGAGCGAAAAGCTAGAAAGTGAGGCACTGATAGTTCCTATGATGTCCAATTTTCTCCTCTGCCTTGAAGACAGGAGAAGACAAGTACACTGTACACTTGCCTCCAAATGGAGACCATTGTTCAGCAGGCATAGTAAGGGTTGTCCTGGCAAAAGATGGAAGAATCATTATAAGAGCAATAGAAATTAAAATTTATCTTTTGTCACCAACATAGTGAGGCTCTTCATTTGACGGGATGTTATTGGGTGGTAATTATGCTCTAACCACCACATCCGAGGCTAGATTAGGGCTTAACTTTAAATACATTTTTGATTTCTCCCTCCCCCCCACCCCCAGGTTTCTCCCTCCCCCCCACCCCCAGGTTCAAGTATGGAAAAAAAATCCACTCTACTACTAGCCCCATTACCTGAAGCAGTGTGAGAATGAGTTGAGCATATTGAGCCAATTCTGTCCTTGTACTAGGAAATGAAACGAATTTCTAAACACTAAACCCTAGTGGGGCCTGCATTTAACTGGGCCTGCTTTTTGATTGCTGAACTGTGTGTAAAATGTGCATTCAGCATCCATACTTCCCCTTTGACTAGCAGTAGGAAAGAACTATGAAATTCCCCTGCCTGCTTTTCAAGTCCATGCTGGTATGTGTAGTCAACCAAACCCTGTCCCCATCTTGGTATGTAGGCTCATTTGGTATTCTTCATTCTTTTCTGCACACTTATCCAACAGCTTAGAAGGTCCTTGGGAAGAAAGAAGGCAAAAGGTACAAGTGTATGTTTAAAAAAAAAACAACTGCACATTTTACAAGTCTCAAAAGGTGTGCAGAAAAATTGAAGAATACTTTATCAATAAATCTGGCCCAAACTTCAGGTAACACAAATGCTTAAGTTTCTCAGATGGTTTTGTGAGTATCATACTAAGCCTGCAGTAGCCAGAAGGCTGGTTACATTTTAATGTATATTAGTTAACTGTACAACACGTAGTGTTCATGATAAATGCATGTATGATTGTTACACTTATGGCATTCTTTAGGAAAGCACGTCAAGCTTTAAAGGGAAAAGGGTTGTACCGCCTTTCAATATTTAGATTACACTGAACTTGTGCTCAAACAATATTTTCCTTGTTTCTCTGTTTTTACTGTATGCTTTCTGCCCTCAGATATGGCCCATTTCCTGTTCCCTCGGAGCTACCTTTGGCTATGTGGCTGGCCTCATTATTGCACCTCTGTGGATATACTGGAATCGGAAGCAGCTTACATACAAAAGCAGATAACTGGGGCAAAGAGAGAAGGTATTTCTTTGTGCAGATTCCATACGGACTGGGCAGAAATTTTTATGTGATTAAAGCAAGAGACTATTGAAATATTTTCAACGTGGTTTTGGGCCAAGCATCTCCACTTACGGCATTATTTATATGCTGTTGTTGCCGGCTCTAACTTTTTTAACCCCTGAGAGATTGTATCTTCCAGTCCAAATAAAGGATTTGTAAAAGATGGTGGCTGCTTCTTACTAGAGTTCTGTTGATTTGTTTGGTTTTGTTCCTCTGGATTTCACCGATTTCAGAGGTTAGATTCCTAAGTTTAGCTTACAAACTTCTATGATCTATAACAAGTTCTGTGTACTTATGTACTGTATCATTTACGTTTGACAGAAATTCACAGTAGGCCTGGCCATTGTCAAATGTATCTCACGTGATCAAACAGCAGTTTATGCATCTTGATCCTATTCTTTTTTTCACTGTGTGTTTCTTTGGAGTTAAAATGGCTATTATAGCTTCATCAAAAACAGTCTTCAGTCCTTTCTGTGTTAAAGCTGAACACTCCACATAGCAGCAGGCTCCTATCTGTCAAAAAAAAATAATGAATTTAATAGCTACATAGGCATATATTCAGATCTATTCGTTAGCGCTTGAGGTTTTTTTGTTTTGATAGAAACACCCCAAAGTCTTGTGTTTGACCTAGAAAAATCATCCCAATGTGTTCCGTGTCCTGTAAAGCAAAGTATTCCTTTCTTTTGTCTTTTGATGATAGTTTTGGAATTCATTTCTTTAGGTTCTGTTTCTGAAGAAAGTGTGTTTACAAGCAGCTTGTATTGGGTTGATTGTATAGTCCTAAACGCTTCAGCTAAAGGACAGGAAGAAAAAATTATGTGGCCAACTTGTAGATTCATTTCTGAAAATGAGCTATAAATAAAAATGCCTAGCATCTACCGGACATTTTAAAAAAAGTTAGTGTTTTGTAATGATTAATGGCCTATAGGTACATCCCCTATTTTAATTAATTATCTGACTCATGATCATTATTGACTTCTGTACTGAAAAGAGTTATACTGTAATTAAAAGAGAAACATCTAAGTGAGTCTGCTTGTTAGTAGTGGTTTTATAAAAGCTGGTTATCTAGACTGGTGAAGTATGTATGAAAATAGCACATAAGAAGAAAAAATGCAATCAAGAATAAGTTGGGTAGGAGCAGGTTTTTTTCTCCTCGAGTGTCTGATTTACCTCTTTTGCTAACTTCTGTCCCTGTTCCATAGATATAGGCTTCTCCTTCATATCATTCAATCTTGCTAAAGTTTTTGGATCATCACGAAGATCAATCTAGTAGGAAAGATGGAAATAATATTGCATAATGATTACACACGTCAAATAGAAATCATTGAGCCATATCATGTCCTCCGTTCTAGGGCCTGATCCAAAAGCCACATGAAGATGTAGATCAGGTCTCCAATACCCGAGTATCCAAAAGGCAGGGTAGGTGGGTTATTTATTCTCAGCTTTTTTCCTTAACTTCAGTGTGACACTCCAGAACCACCAATGAACACAGGAGGGGCAGGATTAATCCAACACATACTGGGGAAATTTGAGCTGCTTCCGCTTAGACCATAATCCTGTAAGAATCCGTGGGACTAGAACCTGGGACTGTGGACCCTAGGTCATCTGACAGTCCCATGTTGCTACTGAGAGGCCAAGCAGCACCACATCCAAGGAGCACTATGGTGACAGCACCCTGTGGCCTTCTGATTGGCTCATGCTCACTATTTAACCCTGGAGGGTGCCCCAGGAAGTAGTCTAGGCAATCATGCAGACTTCTGGCATGCTGTGACTCCAGACCTCACCTTGCTTTCTGATCTCTGGCCTCCAACCCCAGCCTGACTCTGAGCCGGACTCTTTCCTGTTGATACCAGCTCTAGTGACTACTCCGATCCTTGCTCTCTGATTACCGCCTCATGGCCATCCTTGACCTGTGGACACCAGCCCACCATGACCGCTAAGCCAGACTGCCTACGCCCTGGTTCCTTATAAATCCAATGTCCTTTGAAATCAAGAGAAGTCTCTCCATTAGTTTCAATGGGTATTGGATAGGACTGTTAGCCGTGGCACAGGGTTATGCGTGTAATGTGGAGCCCGATCCTGCAGTGCATTCTGGGACTAGTAATCCTATTGATTTCAGTGAGTTACCTGGAAGAGTAATGCTTGTAATCCCAGACCCCTGCTCAACAGCCTCAAGTGCTTGTGTAACACGATGCATCTTTTTTTAATAGAATGAAGATAACTCTGGAGCTGGGTGAGATTTTTTGGCATAAACTTTTCACTGAAAAATGCAGATCCAGGTTGATGGAAACATTTTGCAAATTCATGGGGAATTCACCACATGGATTTAGTTTGGGGGGAAAAAAAACAAAAACCTAAAAATATTCCCATAAATTTGAAACATTTTGTTTTGAAATTTTCTAAATGAAGTGTATACAATCTAAACAAATTTGTTTTGAAATTTATTTTTAAAAAGATTTTAAAATCTCAAACTAAACATTTTGTATCACTCTGAAACAATAATTTTCTTCGACTTTTCAGTTCACCAAAAATTTAGAAAAAAATTCATTTTATGTCTCCCCAATATGTAGTTTTAATTTTTTCAGTCTGGCCAACAAACTGAAGAATCGGTTATTCACTCAGGAGTACTTATAACACAAGTGACCCTGTTTTCCTACTGTCGGATGTGAGCAAGGTCATGTCTACACTACAGCAGCATAGTATAGATGCTTCCTACATCAACGGAAGGGGTTTTTCCCATTGACGTAATTAATCCACCTCTCTGAAAGGCAGCACCTAGGTCAGTGGAAGAATCTGTCCATTGACCTTATGTCTGTCTACATTCAGGGTTAGGTTGTTTAATAAGAGGGAAGGTCTGAAAGAAAATAGCATAATGCCACTATATAAATCTACAGCCACACCTTGAAAACTGCATACAATTCTGGTCTCCCCATCTCAAAAAAGATATACAGTACTAGAATTGGAAAAAGGACAGAAGGACAACAAAATTGATTTGGGGTATGGAACATCTTCCATATGCAGAGAAGTTAAATACTAAGACCGTTCAGCTTAGAAAAGAGACAGCTAAGGGGGGATATGATTGAGGTCTATAAAATCATGAATAGTATGGATAAAAAAAAATGAATAGAGAAGTGTTATTTATTCCTTCACGTAACACAAAAACCAGGGGTCACCCTATAAAATTAACAGGCAGCAGGTTTAAAACTACTTCACACAATGCACAGTCAACCTGTGTAACTCATTACCAGGGGATGTTGTGAAGGCCAAAAGTATAACTGGGTTCAAAAAATAATTAGATAAGTTCGTGGAGGGATAGGTCCATCAGTGGCTATTAGCCAAGATCGTCAGAGACGCAGCCCGATGTTCTGGGTGTCCCCAAACTTCTGACTGCCAGAAGCTGGAACTGGACAACGGGATGGATCACTCAATAATTGCCCTGTGCTGTTCATTCCTTCTGGAGCATCTGATACCAGACGCTGTCAAAAGACAGGATAGTGGGCTAGTAGGACCATTGGCCAAACTGGGTCAGACCATTTTCATGTACTTATGTCCTAACTACAGTGCTCAGGGCGTGAAATATTTCATAGTCCTGAGTAACGTAGCTATGTCTACCTAAGTTATAGGTGTAGGCTAGGTCTAACTCTTCCATTTGAAGTCAGAGAAAGGGAGTTATTTGGATCCTGCTGCAGGGGCCCGGGGCCCAAAGAAAGCACACGTTAGATGATCTGGATTATTTAAATAAAACAAGCAAAATAAAATCAGACGTACCTGGGTTCCTACGAATAAAAAGGGTACATTAGGTGCATATTCCTTTAGCTCTGGTACCCACTCCTCCTTCACGTTTTGAAATGAGGCTGGATTTACCACTGAGAAGCAGATAAGGAAGACATCTGTCATAGGATAAGATAAAGGTCTCAGACGATCGTAGTCTTCCTGAGGAAAAAGAATGTTGTCATCGGCAATCCTGAACTGAAGCTCACATTTTGTTCATTGTAACAGTTACATTCAGGGACTGTGCTCAAATATCTCAAATAGAAAACTCATTTAAACAGAGACTCCGTTTACTTGGCTGTTTTAGTGGTACCCCCTGTCAGTTAACGTGGCTGTTAGATTAAAATCCACACACAGGAAGTAAACATATGAATGCAAGTGAAAACCATGGCAATGTTGCTACCAATAGTTACACGGTTATCTATGCAATATGATATTTATGGAAAGCTAAACTTCTTTAAAGCCTCATTTTAAACATTCTTTGCATATCTGCAACCTAAGGGCTAGCTTTTGCCCTGGCATGCTGAGGGGAAATAAGCAGACACGTGCTGATTCCACAACCATTCTGCCTGTACAAAGCAAAATGGGTGGGGTAAATCAGAGACATCCATAGTGCTGCTTCTGACTATCCACCTAACCAAGAAAGCACTCCCTCTTGTATCTCAGATGTGAATGGTAGCTGAGCCCCCTCCTAGCATTTTGAAGTGTCAGCAGGATATTGTGTCCTATTACTGATGATCCTGTTCTGGGGGACAGAGTGGGATCAGAGCTCCTTTATCCACACTCTCCTTTAGCCCAGTGCACCCACCCAACACCAGGGAAGATTGGGCATTAAAAAGCACTGACATTTTCTAAAGGAAAAGATCACCCAAAAGAATTCCTTTGAAGGAATTCTCAGTGTGGATGGACAAATCACTCAGGTGTTAGTTTTTTAGAGCCACAGCATCAAAGCCGCTTGGCCATATTGGGAAGGTGCACAGGCAGACTAGGCTTGTTCTGCTGGATGGCATTGAAGAGAGCAGGCTATGCTGGTGCCATTCCTATTTTAGAGAGTTTAATGTAGATTACTAGCTTCAGAGCCTTTACACGGAAGACTGGCATTGTGCCCACATTGCACAGGGAAGGCTTTTGGTCCCCTCTCCCCTACAATGAGCACCAAGGCAGGGCTAACCAAAGTCTGCTGCAAGCTTCTTGATACAAATTCCCATCTGAATTAAATCCCACAAATATTAGAACTGTTTATTCGTTAAATAAAAACAGGCTGATGTAATTCAACACTACTACACTTTGGGAAATTCAGCTATAGTTTTTCACTGGCAACTGTAACTGCCAGATTGCACATATTTACTTGTAAATGAAAAACTTAATTAGCAAATAGTTATAATTGAAAGCAT